CAAGTTGCCCAGGTGGGTCTCGAACCCGTGGGCTCAGGCAATCCACTCACCTCAGCTTCCCAAAGGCGCAGGATTACAGGCTGAGCCACCAAGCCCGGCGAGATCACGATTCTTAAACAATGACTTGAGGATTTGAGGAGCTCTTCCTCCATTTATACAAGCTAGAGACCCTAAATATCTCTATCAGTGTTTTTAGTTATGGTTTTCTCCTAAAGAGCAATAAAGTGTGATGTTCCAAGGATAGTTTTAAAAAGAAAATGAATAGCTGGGCGCAGTGGCTCACGCCTGTAATCCCAGCACTTTGGGAGGCCGAGGCAAGAGGTTTGCCTGAGTCCAGGGTTTTAAGACCAGCTGGGCAACTTGGCAAGACCTTGTCTCTACAATAAATCAAAAAATTAGCTGGGTATGGTGATGTACGCTTGTGGTTCCAGCTACTTGGAAGGCTAAGGTGGAAGAATTGCCTGAACCCAGCTGGTCAAGGCTGCGGTGGCTGTGAGCCTGCCATTGCACTCCAGCCTGGGCGACAGACAGAGTGAGACTCTGGCTAATAAAAACAACAAAAGCTAAATACATTTTAAAAAAATAGATACTGATCCTATTGATATTAAATTAATGGATTTGGAAAATTTTAGAGCTGAGGTCAGAGTGACAGAAGCATGCCTGTGTGTGTATAAACGCATATAAATATACACACAGAAGAGAGAGAGACAGAAAGAGGCAGAGACAAAGAGAGAAGGAAAGACGTGCACAGAGAGAGAATAAGACACACGGGGAGACAGTGATGGAGTGGGTGTGTGCATTTAGAGGGATTCGTAGATAAGATTTTGTGCGATGTATATATATATATATATATATACATATATACATATATATGTATATATATATGTATATATGTGTATATATGTATACATGTATATACATATATATGTATATATATGTATATATATGTATATATATGTAGCGCATATATCTATCTATCTATATATATATATATATATATAGAGAGAGAGAGAGAGAGAGAGAGAGAGAGACAGGAAGATACCTGAACACTAAGATAGGAACAGAGAGAGAAAAATGGAAAAGCAGAAACACAGGAAGAGAGATCAAGAGAACAAATACACCGCAATCGAAAGGAGACAGAAACAGACACCATAAGAGACTGAAAGAAGTGGAAACCTCTAGAGGCGGCAGTGCTGCTCAGTATTGGCTGCATGTCTGCTCCACGGAACACACAGTGCCTGGGTGTGAAAGTCAGAGGCCTTGCTTGAAATTAGGCCCAAGGTCCCAAGGACACGGCACTGAACCGGCAGCACCGGGCACGAGCAGGTCCCCGTCTGGCCACGATTCGGTGGCTGTGTACCACCCAGTCTTCTTTGTGCAATGTGTTTTTGAGCTCTAAATGTACTTTCACCATTTGTGTTTTGGCTGCAGGAAGGTTCTGAAGGAAATCTCTGTTGGAGAACTGAACCCCAACGAGACTGTACAGGCCAATTTGGAAGCCCAACTCCTCTCCAAGCTGGACCACCCGGCCATTGTCAAGTTCCATGCAAGCTTCGTAGAGCAAGATAATTTCTGCATTATCACGGAGTACTGTGAGGTGAGCCTCCTTCTCTCTAGGAAGTCTTAATAAAAGTTTGTTGCATGGTGAAAAGCCTTCTGTAAAGAGATATCTCAGAAGTGCAACTATCAAACCACAAGTCCAACTGTAAACACTCATGTCTTGCAGCTAACAATGATTATCTGCAGGTAACTGCAAAGCCTGGTTTCTAAGAAAGGGTCCCTCCCTTTTGGTAAATTCAGGATAAATGAGTGGGTTTGAAGGAGGAGTTGCTGCAGAAAAGTGTTCCAACCACGTTCAGTGGGGAAGGGACAAATCTCCTGCCATGGTTCAGGGCTCAGTGGACATGCGAAGGCCTTGGCAGAGGCCTGGGCAGAGTCCAGGGGCAGCTCCTGGTCTTGGGTGCTACCTCTGGGGTTCGTTTTCCGCACAGGAATCCTCTCATGTCTGTCACTTTGTGGTGGATGGCTTCAGGTGTTGGCAGTGTTCCCAGACCCTCTCTGTCCCCTCCCAGTCACCCTGTGCCTCTGGCTGAGCCCCACGTGGGGTGGGTGTGATGCAGGGATGACGCCGCCCAGAAAGGATCTCCCGGCCTGTGCGCGGCTCAGCCTGTAGTCCCAGCACTTTGCAGGCCAGGCTGAGAGGCTGCCTGCGCCCGCGGGTTGGAGACCCGCCCGGGCAACTTGGGGGACCAAAATCGGCCGGGCGGCAGCGGCGCGTAGTTCGGGCCACCTGGAAGGCTGAGCGGACGGGTCGCCGGAGCGGCCGCTGCCCTGCAGCCTGGGTGACAGAGTGGGCCTCTAACTCAGGAGAAGGAGTGTCTCCCAGAACGTCCTGGGAGCCAGGCCGGCCAGACGCACGAGGGAGACGCGGGCCC